GACAGGGTCTCTATGTAGTTGAGACTGACCTGGAACTCACTATGTAGCCCAGGCTGGCCTCAAACTCATAGCAATCCTCCTGCCTCAGCCTCCCCAAGTGCTAGGATTACAGGTGTGTGCACCACCACTCCCAACCTATTATTTCTTTCTTTTATGGTTACTGCTTTCTGTGTCCCAAGTCACAATGACAGTCTATTATCTCTTTTAAAAGTTTCATATCTTTAGTTTTTGCTTATTCTGAAATGTACTCTATTTTTTTTTTTGTACCAGGGATCAAACTCTGCATCTTGTGCTTGCAAGGCAGGTGGCCAAACCACTGAGCTAAATCCCCAGCCCTCTTAAATATACTTTTAAAATTTAGCTTAATCAGAAATCCAAAACATGATCGTTAGATTTCCCTTGCCTTAAGATGGATGCCATATGGAATAGACTCCATGTTAAATTATGGCTTCTCCCAACAAAGGACAGGGTTTTTCCCATCATGCCTCTTCTCCTGCCAAAAGAGTAAGCTGATACTTGCTACCTCCTAGCATCTAATGTCACAGGCCCCTCCTAGTGAAATCACAGGCTCCTCCAATCTCTTAATACTACCTTACTCATCTCCACCCCAGCTCAGGCTAACTCCACCCCGCTCCTATAAAAGAAGCTCCCTGTCCTGCCATGTTGCTTTCTCTCCTTTGTTTGGAGACAGCAGGGCAGCTCCTCCCCATAATAAAGGCTTGTTATGGTCCTGGTCCTGTCCTGGTTTTCAGCTCTTTTTAACCTAACAATGATAAATCCTTAAAAAAAAAAAAAAAAGTCAATTAGCATTATATCTAATAAGTCTGCCTAAATTGGAAAGCAACTTACAACAGTACAAATTTAAACTATTGTTCTGGTACTGTTTTATATTCCATATACTTACATGAGTTATAATGTCATACTGTTACAGTATACCAGAATTTAAGGTATATGAAAATAGAAACGCACTTGGATTTTACAGAACATGAAAATAATAGTTGGGTAATACTTACCAACTATTAGCTCAATGAAGTCACTTAACCTTTATAAAATGAGGATAAACTCTTTCAATTAATTTGTTTTTCAATAAGTGAAAGCTTTGTATAAACCAAGAGCAAAATAAACCCATATGTGAATGTAAATTTTTATAACTTGTCATTTATTTTGTTGGAAGATCTTAGTTTACATGTAATAATATATAGACCAATTTACCCAATGTACCAAACAAGTTCTGAGTATAAAGATCCAAAAACGTAAGTACCTTTCTGGCTGTATTACTGTTTTTGTTTTTTGGGGTCTTTTTTTTTTTTTCTTAGTTTTTCTTTTTTTTGGTTTTTGGAGACAGGCTCTCACTATGTAGCCCAGGCTGGCCTCAAACTTGCAGAAATCATCCTGCCTTAGCCTCCTAAGTGCTGGGATTACAAACATGTACCACCATGCCCAGCTTTGTCTTTCATTTTTTTTTTTTTATTCAATCCCATAAAAATCATGTAGCCCAAAACTAAGAACAGAAAAGCAAAAAACTTTCTGGTGTAATTCTAAAATATGTTTCCCAACTTTATAGTCTGAAAAAAAATTCATGTCTACACAGAAGTTGGGAAAGTACAAGGAGGATCTCCAGGCCTTTCACATTGCTCTCCCAATGGTCAGTGGTTAAGTCAATGTTTCATGAGGTGTCTTCATGATCTGTCTCTTTGAGGCTTGTTTTAGAGTCCAGACCTAAGAACTGCGTGTTTTATCACAGCAAAGCCAAGCCCAGTTTAATTTTAGAAGCTTTCTAATGAAATACAAATCACACTTTTAAAATCCTTTTCTGCAGCTGCCAAAACAAATGCATTTGTGGGCTAGGGATTTCACCCAGTAGTGCCATGTCCACCTGGCAAGCACAGGGTCCTGAGTTCGATTCCCAGTACCCCCCCAAAAGGCAAAAAAATCCAAATGCATTTGTTTCAATGTTTGCTGAACAACACTTCTTAATATGATGTAATTGTTTTCTATATGGTCACTCTACATAAAAGAACCTTCAGGATGCCAGGCAGAGTTCTGTCAGACTCCAGTTACACCCTGTCAACCCACCTAGCATAATACAGATTCATATACATGGGTGCCTTCTCTACAGTAAGAAGATAAATGAAAAGATAAATGGCTTTTTATAGTCTAACAGATCTGGACTCACATTTGATACCACCACTTACTATGAATTTCATCAACTTGTTTAACTTCTTCAACTTCAGTTCCTCATTAAAAACAAATAAATACCAGGCAGGGGATTTAGCTCAGTGGTTCTGCCACCTACTTTGCAAGTGCAAGGTCCCAGTTCATTCCTCAGTACCAAAAAAAAAGAAAACAAAAAACAAATACCACCATCTTATGGAGCTGCTATAAAGACCAATTCAGATAATTTAAACTAAGGAATTGCACAAAGCTTGATACAAAGCACTAAACAGAAGTTACTATTAATTCCATGAATAATAAATACACCTTTAATATAGAGAGCGAGTAGTGCAGCCTTTTTTTTGAGGCAGGGTCTCACTAGGTAGGCCAGGCTAGCCTTGAACATGCAATCCTCTTGCCTCAGCTTCCTGAATGCTGAGATTAAAGGTATACAGCACCACATCTAGTGATGAAGCTTTCTTGTTATAAGTCACAAAGTCTATTTCATTTGCATGTAATTCATCAAACACTTATTGAATGCCACATCATGTTATGGGTGCTAAATACATATGAATAAAGTATGGTCAGTGCTTTCAGGAACTCAGACTTGTTAGGGAGAATTCATTCCACTGGTGGGGTTACAAAGACAGGACTTTTCCTATCAATACTTAAGTCTTTCCTCAGTTTCACTGCCACAGCATCATAAATAAATGTAGTTAGTCTATAATATAAAGCTGCTTAAAATCAGCAAAAAGCATTAGTCCTATAAATCAATACCCAAAAATACTGCCACTGTAAAACAAAAGGTTATCACAACAGTGCAATTTACTAAAGGAGTTGGAAACATTTACACTTGGAAATGAATTTAAAAATCTGTAATCTTCATGAAATGATTTGTAGAAAATTTTGCTTTTTATATTACATAAAAACAGAAAGTTACAGATAAGAACTGAAAGTGCTATAGAGTCTAATGTATACTGACCAAAGAGCTACATTATTAAATATTGTCTTTCACAAGGCTACCCTCTCTAAATTGGTCCTGGCCTGATTATTATGGCTAACATTTACACGGGGCTTTATGGTATGCTAAGTTCTTTTGGACACAGATCAGCTGATCCTCAGAATGAATGCCTAAGTATGAACAGTATACAGATCATATTGAAGAAAGTGAAGTTTGGAGGTTAAATGAATTGCCTGATAGTAAAGGGAGCCAAAACAAAGGCCCTCTGGCCCACGCTAGCAAGACAAATAAATGGAATGGCAAACTACTGTGCAGTTTTACTAGTCTACACTTTTGTTAAGACCTGAAGAACAATATCTCACTCACTATTGCTTGAAGTGCTCAAATAATTATCATCATATATACAGCTATCCCCTGCTATCTGAGAGGAATTAGTTTCAGGACATCCCAAGGACCCTCTACCTCAGCTTCCCCTATAATACATATATATTTGAAGGCAGGGTTTTGCTGTGGCTGACCCCAAACTCCTAGTCACACAGTTTTTTAGCAGCAGAGCTAAAGCTATCATTCAAGCCACTAAGACTAATGTTTTTCAACTGGACCCCAACAGAGGACACTGGCAATGTCCAGAGACATTTTAGCTTGTCACACTACGAGGGTGCCAAAGGCACATCGTGGACAGAGGCCAGGTCTGCTGCTCAACTTCTTACAAGAGGACTGCCCTTTACAACAAGAATTATCTGGTCTAAAATATCAATAGTATCAAGGTTGAGAAACCCAGACTTGGAACTGCACTTTGCCAGATCTATGTAATAAACTTTACATTTAATACAAGCATTCAGAGAATAACATGTTAAACTAGGTTATTTCTCTCCAGGCTGAATTTAAAGATCCAGTTTATTTGATTCCATATGTGAAGGAATATGACAGATCAAAAGAATAAAGTGTACGCACCAGGAGCCAAAGCCCAAGGGTCTCCTATCGTAATCCGGCAGGTCTGGAGTAATCTTACAAGCTTGTATGTTCAGGTATTTAAATATGTGGATTTTGCCTTTTATACATATCTAAATAAAACAGCATAAAAATGCAACCAAATGATTACTCATCTGAAACACACAGATTCTTTTTTGTAAAATGATACCCAGCTTTTTACATAATGTAAATTGGAGCTAAAAGACATTTGTATTAAATATGTGATATAATGTTAAAACAATTCTAGCTGGATGAAGTGACACACACCAGCAATCCCAGCACTCAGGGAGGCTGAGAGAGGAGGAACACGAGCTCAAGTCCCACCTGGCCAACTCAAGACCTTGTCTCAAAATAAAAAATTTAAAAAAGGGTCAGGGAGCCAGGTATGGTGACACACGCCTGTAGTCCCAGCACTTGGGAGATTGAGGCAGGAGGATTGCTGTGAGTTCGAGACCAGCCTGGGCTACACAGTGATCCGGGGCAGTCTGAACTACACAGTGAGACCCTATCTCAAAAATCAACAAAAAAAAAAAGGTTAGGGAACGTAGTTCAGTGGTAGAGTGCCACTGAGCTCAATTCCCCGGTACCATTAAAAAATTATAAATATATATGAAT